CCACTTGTCCCATCATCCACGAGAAAAGATGGATCGCGAGTAAAATAAGTCATCCTACCAACAAATTGCTCAAACCCACACAACTCCGTTCCCAAACAATCAACCTTTATCACAACAAGATATGTCTGTAGAAAGCTGCACCACCTGCTGGATGCGAAGATGAAGTTTTCATTCCAATGTAGGAAGGAGGCCACCGCTAATGACATGCGGGAATCACCCATAAGAGGGCACTGGGAACGGTGCTCAAAAAGACGAAAAGCGATGTAATACGTGTTTGCGCTTCTTAGGTTAGAAGCGTTCAGTGAACACGAATCAAGCAAACGTGCAGTAGTCACTGAGCCTTGATGTAGGAGAAGTGTGTTCAGAATGAGCGCTGTTCTGCTCTCTGTTTGAAATGCCTCTACTTAGTCCACTCGTTCCAGTAAAATGGAGGCCAAGCTAAAAGGGAAAAGCATGGAACATTTTATGCTCTAAGCTGTTACTCTTGTAACAAATACAAATCACCAAAAGCTGACCTCTTATACAATTACTTTCATCAGGTAAAATTTTGGATTTGAAGGTGTCAAAAGAAAAGAAGTTATGAGGCGATGGCGATGACATTGAACCTATTTGTATCAAACTTTCAATGATGCAGCTCTAGCTATAATAATAGATGGTCCTCTACAGTTTATGCAAAGAAAGTGGTCGATGGTGACCCAAAGAATGATCTAAAAAATTTTCATTCCCTCTATGCACCATCTACATATGATGTGAAGGAAGTGAATCGCAGACCATCCGTGTGTACTCCAAAATTTTGTACCTAGTACCAAGAGCAAATGAAAGCATTTAACGATGCAAAAGGACCGTTATTCGCATTGCGTTTTCCGTCCTGTCTCTAGTGTCATGAGGGGCGATTTTCTAACACTTATTAGGAGTGCATTAATTTTGTTGTGATCTAATCTAATTTAATCTCAAACTAATTACGTACAAATTGTCTTGACACGTCTTTATCCAACATTTCAAAAGAATTCGCTGCTTGTCCACCTGTTCAGCCTCTCCCTGATTGGGCAATACTTGCTGCAGAGTCAGGACCTTTCAAAGCATGTCAAATAGGCGAAAGCGACACTAGAGTAAAGCAGGGGTAAAAAAATGCACCCTACCGCCAGTGTACTCGTAACGCCGACAGTAATGACTTCGGGCCTGAAGTCAGGATCACGTTGTTGTGGACACACTGGCAAAAGCAGTCACTGAATGAACAACTTGCATGCAATTTACCACCTTCTCTTTAGCTCAATGTGCCACATT